CCCAAAGTAATGAGAGATGCCTCCCCACCCCCCATAGTGCTAGGGCCTCTCTTTGGCCTCTGGGAGAGCATCTGAACCCAGAGAGTGACCATAAGCCCCAGCTGAAAGGCTGTCCTTTTAGCTACTCCTCTAAGGCAGAGAAACTCTTGGAGATATTTGAAGGACACCAAGCGTTTTAGTGCAGAGAAGGTAAGAAAGCACTCAGGCAGGCAAGAGGCACTGCTTGGCCGCCCACCTGGTCGCCAGAAGCCTCACAGGACTTGCCGGGAGCATCTTAAACAGAGGGCAGTATTGGGGGGCAGGAAAGCTGGTTCCTGGCAGCCCTTGCCAGCCAGAAGCCTTGACGTGCTGAGGATCGAAAGCTGATAGACCACTGGGGTCCATGCACCTGGGGACTCGCTGGTGCCAGGGGTCCCGTCAGGAGCCTGCCTGGAGCTGGTGGCCCAGGGCAGCTGGAGAGAGACCCCCCTTGAGGGAAGGTGGGCCAGATGGAGCCTAAGTCAGGAGGTCCACAGGAGCCATGATTTCAGACAGGATAGAAGATATGGCCGTTCTTCCTGCCGCCAGAGGGTCTCAAGAGGGAGCTGCAAGTCCCCGCAGACCAACAGCTTCCTGCGGGCCCTCCAGAAAATTCCATCATGAGACGCAGAAAGTGTTCTCTGTAGGCTAGAGAGAGAACAAGCCTATCCCAACGCTTCTCGGATAGGCCATGGGACTTCGACTGTGGGGTAGGGGTCCTGCCATATGGCAAAAGAAGCGGTGGTGACCCCCCCCACCTTCCATGGCCCCAATTCCATTGCCAGACAGTTGCACTTATTTCTGGGTTGGTTTTAAGGATAACATCTTTCTAACCCCTATAGATGAGGCTGGGGGGTAGGGTAAGGCGAGACGGGCATCCGCGGAAGTAGACCCAGAACCCAGGACTGAGGACAAGCCGTTTAAGCTGGAGGAGATCCCAGGAAGCACCGGGACAGAGGAAAGAAGTTCGGGGAAAGAAGGGAAGGAGCCCGAGGAGGTGTGTCCGTGAGCAGGTGGCCGCTGTGAGCAGCGGGGGTTCAGTCCCAGTGGGGAGGAGCTCAGAGTTGTCCCAGTCAATGAGGACCTGGGAAGCCTTACTGGTTGAGAGCTTTATGCTCTCAACGTATGTGTTGGCATCAGGGCCAACACATTATACGGGAACGGTGTGTGCTCAGCAGCTCTAGGCAGGGCACGGCCGCATCTCCCCAGCGGCGGGGACATGTAGTTATGAGCTGATGGTGACTGTGTCCTAACCCAGATCCAGCCAGGCTACTATGGAGCACAGAGAAAGGAGCACGTCCCCTACTCCTGCCAGCCACACTGGCAGCTCCTAGAGCTTCCTGTCCTCCGACCTCGGTATGTGCTGTGCCCTCAGCTGGCAAGGCTCCGTCAGTCTTTTTCTCTCAGACTCCCACTCACTGTTCTGGACTCAGCACTTGGTGTAGAAAACCTTCCCACACACCCACCTGCTTCTGGCTAGGCTCCTTCCCTCACTCTCCCAGAGCTCGCTATCCGTACTGCCGTGGCCCAGTCCTTTGACCGTCTCGTATCTGTCAGTTGGACTGCATAACAAAATACCACAGACTGAGGGCTTCAACAACATTAATTTGTTCCTCACAGTTCTGGAAGCTGGGAAGTCCGTGATCACCTGTCAGCAGGTTTGGTTTCTAGTGAAGGCTCTCTTCTTGGCTTGTAGAGACCCATCTCCTCACTGTGCCCTCACAGGGCCTTTTAGGAAACTCTTTTCCTCCTCTTACAAGGCACCAGCCCTATCGGATCAGTACCCCACCCTTATGAGCTCATTTATCCGTAGTTACCTACTTCTAGACCCCATCTCCAAATATAGTCACACTGGGGGTTTCTATGGGTGGATTTGTGAGGAACATAAATTCAGTCCACAGTACATGTCTTCCATGGGTTTGTGATCGGTTCTTGAGGTCAGGGACGGTGTCTCTTTCACCTCTGTTTTGTCATGCCCAGCTCAGCAAAGATCTGTGGACGAACTAGTCTATCTGGATGGAAAGAAAAATGTTAACAGTTTGGGGAAGGGGGAATCATATCATGGAAGTCTGCAGAGAAGATAGTGTCTCTGCTGGGTATTGAAGGATGAATAGGAGTTTGCTAGATGGGGCACTGCAGGCAGAGGAAAGAGCCTTTGCCAAGGGGGGCATTGTGCATGGGAGGGAAGTGGGGGCTACTGCTTAAGAAATAAGAGCGATCAGGGAGGAGGAAGGAAGAGTCTGAGGAGGGAGTCCGTGGCCCGGTGACGCTTGTAAAGGAGTCAGGGACCAGCCCCAGAGGTCCTCCAGGGAGGTCTCCAGGCAGAGGATCGCATGGGCACGTGTGTGTTACAGAGAGATTGCCGTGGGCTCCTGAGCGCAGGATGGACCAGAGGGAATGATGGATCCCAGAGGAGCAGAGGCGAGAATTGCTGTCAGCCATTAAAGGGAGCTCTCGGAAATGACCGTTAACTGAGGAATATTCCTTGGACCTCAGGATTCAGACAGAAGAAAAGGGAGCGTCTATTATTCATGAAACCTAGTTCAGTAATCACCTGGCAGCCTCTGGGGGCCACCAGGGCAGCTCTGCTGCCCTTCCTTGTTAAATTTGCAGGAAATGCACTCACTAGGGACGTGCCCTTCCCAAGAGGGGCTGTGCTGGGGGCCAGAACTCACAACACACGTGGGCCACCTCTATGGCCCCAGGATTTCTTCCATCCAGAAGGTGGGGGTTGGGGAGGGGAAAACAACGGGGATGGGGACTAGTTCTGCAATGATCCAGGTTTCACTTAGTAGTAGATGGGTTTCCCCTTTGGAGGGCAGTCTGGGGACTAAGGACTAGCCTGGGGTCAGCCCTGTGTCCCAATGGGCCCCTGTCTCATGACCAAGTATTCTAACCACGTCTCAGAGCATGGTTGATAAAACCGTCAGCCCTCCCGGCTTTACAGGTGGTGGAGGCAAAGAGTCAACAGACAGAGGCCAGTGTGGGGATGGGGACAGCAGGCGGGCATGATGAATCCTGGCACGGGTGGGGTGCGGATTCCCTAAAGAGCCGGCAAGGGGCTTGTGTGACGTGGCGACTTCTGAGCTGAACTGGGAAGGGAGAGAGGGGCCTCACCTGGGAGGAAGGAGGGCCCATGTGGAAGCTCAAGACCTGCTCCCTTAGGGAACTCAAAGAAAGGTTGCAGGACTGTGACATACGGGACAGACCCCAAGACCTCGTGCGGAGTGGGGTGCTGAGTGGGGACCCCAGCTGTCTGCTGAGAACGGCCTGCTGGGAGCCGCTGTGTCTGTCCAGGGAGGGGTGAGAGTGGACCCAGTGCGGTCTGTGTGACCATGTGTCCCGGACTACCTGGGATGGGCCAGGTGCATGCTGTGTCCTGGGGCCATTGGGTTAGAGTACCAGCTTCCCGGCTGTGAGTGCTTTGGGTGGGAATGAGCCCATGACCATGTCTGCGGAGCTGGAGAGAGGCCAACGGACATGTGCCGTGGAACCAGGACTTCTGGGGGGTGGTCCTTGGGAGAGAAGTGCACCCACTTCTGACTTGCATAATGGTGGGGGGGTGCGTACAGTCATGACGTTTACCGAAATGGGCAGACAATATATGTGTGGCCCGCCTTCTGGGGGGATACCCCAATGTTCACAAGAGCCATTGCATTCACTGGGATGAGACTAGAGGGGGCTATAAGGTCTGTGTCCCCCAGATTCATATGAGGAAACCCTAACTGCCCCCATGTGCCTTGGAGAGGTGATGAAGCCATGAGGGTGTGGCCCTCACGAGGGAACCGTGCCCTTGAAGGGGAAAGAGCTGGATGAAAAGCATCTGTGTCCGCCAATGAGGACACAGCGAGAGGCAGGCGTCTGCAAGACAGGAACAGGCTGTCACTAGAACTCAATCCCCCTGCACCTGGTCTTGGACTTCAGATCCCACAACTATAAGAAATCAGTGTTTGTCATTTAAGACACCCCACACAGTTGATGGGATTTTATTATCGGAATCTGAGCAGGCTGAAACAGATCAGGAAACATTTAATCCCAGGACAGCAGGGGTGACCATGGTGGGACCATGGGACCGCATGGGAGACCAACCTGCATTTTCTTCCCTTCCTGAGTCCTGTGCTCCAGCCATAACCAGCTCCGGAAGTTTCCAGAACCTGGGAGGCTAACTGCCACTCAGCGTGTCTGCTCCTGCCGTTCCCTCAGCCTGAATGCCCTTCCCTCCATCGGCCACTAGGAATGCTTCCTCACTGTCAAGACTTTGGTCGGAAAGCCTCCCCTGCCCTCTGGGGTGCTGCTGCTTTCCACAGAAACTCTCCTCATGCACCATCAGCAGAAGGGGGCCTGTGTGCTGAGAAATGACACACGCGGCAAAGTGGCTTTCACTTTCACGAATTAGGGTACACCATCCTTTATTTTTCCAGGCTGCCCTGGGAGCTGACGGGACATTGCACTAATGAAAAAACGGGGATTTCCGTTTGCACGGGGCTCAGATTGCTAAAGGGAAGGAAGTGTATCAGGTGCCAGAAACTTGCCTCCCTGGCCGAGCCGGGCTGGTGGGAAGCCGGTGTGCAACAGGGTGTGTGGTGGGGCTGGAGGGATCGGAGTCACGCTGACTCACAGATGGGACGGCCAGGACACTCAGAAAGACACAGCTCCGCAGGAGACAGAGGAACAGACTTGGGTGACACCTTCGTGTTTCGTAAATCTGTCCACCCACATTACAAGCATCCTGTGACAGGCGTTAGCACTTCCCGGGCCTCATCAGAGATAGGGACGCCTTTGAGGGGGGAAAGGGGGTGGCTAGCCTTCTGTGCCGGGACCCTGTGCAGACCTCACAGGCCAGAAGAGGGTGGCGTCTCCCTCTTCCTTCCCCAGCGGCCAGGTGCCTGTCTCGGAACCGCATAGGCACGCACGAGGCTTCAACCCTGGGGAGCTATGTTTCACTTCAGGAAAGACGGGCACAGCAAGGGCTATGTTGGGTATTAGGCTGGGTGCATGGAAATCCTTTATTCTGGGGCTTTGGCCATCAGAAGAGGGCGTTTTCTCTCCAAGACGGGGAGAGTAACAGCGAGGCGGACAGTGGCGGCTACACGTACAGACAGTATCACACGGGCGAGGACGGCCCTTCAGGGCACCTGTGGGACAGGTGAAAAAGAAAGCAACAATAACAACAACAATGACCATGGAAAGAAAACTGGCAAGGAGCCCTGGGGGTTAGGAGCCCACCAAAAAGCAAAAACACACAGATCCGGACAGTGGAGAATAAGGCTGGAGGCGCTCCCCTTCCGCGGGCCCGTACAAGGGAACTCTATATATGTCATCTTATGTTTAAGTAGGCTATGCTCTTTAATAAAATAAAAACTTCTGTGTTACTTTAAAGATATCATTTAGGCATCTAGGGGATGATTCGGAAGAAAAATGCAGTGCATGGAGGGCCCTGGCCTAAGGTACCCTGTCAGGCTGACGTTTGTCCCTAAAAACAGACGCTTCACAAGCGGTTGCAAAAATCGTGCACCCCACGCTTGACTTCATGCAGCCCTGGGCGCTCTGCGGCCCCCTCCCTGGCATGGCCTGTCTGTGCGCAAGGCTGTGCCTCCCCCCGGGGTGGGGGGCTGAGCAAATGGGTGGGGGGCGAGCAGACCCTGGGAGCCAGATGCCCATATGTCTGTGATTGTGTCAGCGACTGTCATCGACCAACCTCCTGAAATCCCAAGCCCAGGGACCTCTGTGCCCCCAGGGCCTCGTGCGGGGGGCTGGGGCACTGCTCAGGGGTTTGGGAAGGCGGGCTACACGCCGTGTAGATGTCCCTTGATCTCCTGGGACCACTACTTTGCAGCGTCTCCCTAACGCCAAGCAACAGTGGGGAAGGAGCCGTGCAAAGCAAGGCATCTGGGCTCTGAACCGGGGGCAGGAGCACTGCTGGCGGAAACAGAGGTCGCACCGGCTCCGGGACCTCCTCCTGCCCAGCCTCCAGCCCAGCCCTCTCCAGGGGCCCACCGCCCGCCCCCCGTGGACACAGAGAAGCCAGAGCCAGGTGCAATAGGAGGGATTTTTGTGGTTCTCGCCGGGTGTCCCGTGCTCTGCCGCCGGGCGTGCACGTGGTCACACACGCTGGTGGCAGTCAAAAGAGTAGGGCTTTCTTCTTGAGGTCATTCCTCTTCCAGAGGGCCAGGCGGTCAAACTCTTCCATGCTCATCCCAAACACTTCCTGGAAATCCTCGGGCGACAGGTGCCTCTGCAAACCAACAGGAAAACCCAGAGAGGAGCAGTGAGCAGCTCTGCAACGCACTGCCAGACCAGCTCCGTGCTGCTGCAGGCAGTATCGGCGTCCAGGCGGCCATGCCCCCCCCCCCGACACCCATGTGCCCTATGGGGCCGTCTAGTTCCCTGCGTTCCCTCTGCTTCCCTGCTATTCCCACACTGCAGCGCTGGTCACTGAGCCTAGAGAAAGAGACTTGCTTAGGGGCCCGACCGAACAGGACTCACACAGGGTCCTCCTGCGCACCCCCGTTTGCAGAATTACTCCCAGTGGCCACAACATGGAAATTCCCAGCTGCCTAAGCAGGGTCCGTGCACACAGAGTGGAGCACACTCCATCCACGAGAAGCCGCAAAGGCCTGATGCACAGGGCAACGCGGTTAAGACATGCGACAGGAGGGTCAGGGAAGGAGGCTGGACTCAAAGGGCCCCAGAGTGTGTGGTTCTGTTTCTACGAAGCTTCAGGAAGGGGCAATCCACAGGGACCAAGAACGGAGAAGCGGCTGCCAGGGGCTGGGGACGGACGGGAGTGGGGAGACACTGTTCGACGGGACAGCATTTCCTTTCAGGGGGATGAAAACATTCCAGAACTTGATTGAGGAGGTGGCTGCACACGGGATGAATGTGACAGGAATTTTACAATGAAAGGGAACAATTCTTGTCACTCCCACCCACACGGTTTCCTTGACTTTAAAACAAAACTACTCATCCTAAGGGTTGTGATGGTCCGGAGAGAAACAGAGGTGAAGACATTTGGTGAACTAGGAAAAGCACAGACACCCATGCCGACTGTTCATGGCTTTACAAAAGTCCCTAGATCCGTGCGGCAGGCAGCGGGTTTTAGAGCCAGATGTCGGCATGATCCAGAGGAGGGAACCCAGGACTGCACTCAGTCTCCTGTGAGTCACCGAAGGGCCTCCTGGTTGAATTGGGGCCCCGAATACTTGGTGCATTCATGTGCATGCACACACGGACACACAGACACACACAGAGACACAGACACACACATGGACACAGAGATACGTGGACACACAGACACACACACACAGACACATGGACACACGAATGCACACGTACGTGGACACACACACAGACACAGAAAGACCCTGAAGCACACACACAGACACACATAGACGCAGAGATGCATAGATACACATGGACACAGAACACACACACACACAGATACATAGACACACACAGAAACACACACACACACACAAACACCACATCAAGCGAGACTCTGCCAGAAAGGGGTTGGCTGCCCCCCGCTCTCTTGAGCTTGAGCACAGGAAGAGATGCTGGCAGCCGCAGAAATGAACCGTCCACACGGCATGGACACCAGCATGCCATGGGGCTCACAGCCAATCCATGGAGACAAGGAATTGTCATCAGACAACAGCACCCCACTTCTAGGTACCAAATCACAACCTTCCCCATCACTGTGGGGCAACCGCAACGTGAAGAGGACAGGACAAGAGCCAAACTGTGTCCCCTGCTCTCAGCACCGACCAGTGGCCTGGCTGGGATGGAATCACAGGCCCCTGGGGGAGCAGACAGCCGTGCAGGGGATCCAGGGACTGTCTAGAGCCCGAAGCTGGCGTCGGAGGAGGGCGTCTCACTTTCTTCATGCTGTCCTCAGTGGATGACCCGAGAGGTGCCCCCAGGTGGCCCTGCTGAGTAGGCAGGGACCTCCAGGCTGAGCCATTTGAGGGGGTCGTCAGGTTGGGGATACACAGGAGGGGGATGAGCGGGAGGCATGGCACCCCAGCGGTGGGAGGACAGTGCCGAGGGGTGACTGTGTGCTCAAGCCTAGGGGCCCACCCCACCCAGGGCAAAGGGGACTGTGGAAGCTGGGAGACGTCCTGGGGGAGCCCAGGGGGCAGAGAGCCCTGTCCCTGCAGGTCCCACGTGGCTCACCTGCACCTTCGGGACCAAGCTGGCCTGGGAAGTGCATCAGAAAGCTGCACAGAGCCCAGGTCCGGTGGCCACGGAAAGGTGCACCCTCAGGACCTGTACTCTGGGGACATGTGGTGGAGCAGTGGCAGGAGAGAGTCGGGCAGGCCAGAGGGCCAGAGGAGCTGGTGTGGTGCTCGTGCCCAGTGCCTGAACACAGGCGGGCTGCTGGGAGGTGTCTGGCCTGTCCTTGGGCAGGAGGCCCCACCCAGCCCTGAAAGAGATTCAAGGCTGGCTCCAGCCTTTTGGGCTCCCTGTGGGGGGCCAGGGTGCGATGTGTACTTAATCTTGATGATGCGGTCCCACATTCCTGCTGCCTCCAGGAGCCCACTGTGAGCAGGGAAGGCAGGGTGGGCTTAGGAGAAAGAGGGGAGCTTGCCCTGATGCGTCTCCCCTGCCACCTAGGTGAGAAGCAGCTGAGGCATTCGAAATAAACTTGCTCAGGGTCATGGGGCTTGAAACTGGGGTTGGTGTGAGAAGGAGGCCTGGGGGCTCTGGGCGTTTGTGGCAATGGTACAATCAGGAGAGGCTTCCTGGAGGAGCCGCCATCCATGGCCAGGTCTGAGCAGTGAGCGGGAGGGGCTGACATTCCAAAGGTGGAAGAGCACAAGAAGACCCAGATGTGCTTCTTCCCGTTATCTATAATCATAACCCAAGTCAGGTCACGTGGCGCAGGTGGACCAGGATGGAGCCAGGACCGGAGTCCTGGGGGGCCTGTCTCCTGGGCGGGAGGTCCCTGCATGACACTTGCCCGGAGGGGTCATATGTCAGCAGACCCCCAGCAAAGCACGTAGGGCCCCTGCCACCTTGCAGAAGTGGTCTCCTGAGTCTACTCAGGTATCTTCCTTCACCCCGTGCCCCATGGCAGGTAGGACACGTGGGACACAGCTCACCCCAGGGGCCGAAGCCAGCTTTCTGGCCCCAGGGCGACTCCCCTGGCCCCAGCTCCCCAGGAGGAGGGGCAGCCCAACCCCCAGGCGCTTGCCAAGGTCAGGCATGGCCAAGCTCCTTCCTGAGTGAGTAGGGAGGAAGCCCAGGGTGGGGCACCTTTGTAGAGGGGTGTCTTGGCCTCATTGCCAGAGCCCATGTGGCAGGGAGGGGATGCAGCCTCGTTCCTGGAGTGCACTGGGCTCCCCAAGAAGTGCCCCTGGGGAGACCATTTCCGCAACGTGGCATACTCATGTATGTGCTCACTGCTCAGATCTGGCCGTGGACCGCGGCTCCTCCAGGAAGCCTCTCCTGATTGCACCCTCGCCACAAGCTCCCAGAGTCCCCACGCCTCATTCTCACACTAGCCCCAGTTTCAATCTGCCACTGTGATGTCACTGAGGGCAGAGTTAGGGAGTTGGGTCCCTTTGAGGGCTATGGGATGACCCAGGAGGGGCCTGTTGATGGGACACCTGTGACCCAGAAGCCTCGTTGCCTTAAAAAGCATTAATGATCTTTCTGCCAGTCTCTTGGGGCTAGAAGGGGGTTTTCTGAGGGAAACGAACCTCTGACTTCACTCTGTGATCTGGTGCCCTTGGTGGAGGCTTCCCAAACATGTGAGTCATAAGGACCAGTCACCTGCTCGCTGCAGGAGCTCATCCGAGGAGACGGCCCGACCTCCGACGCGCATACATCTTCCCACAGAGAGAAGGGCCATGAATGGTCAGTGTGTGAGGCACAGGGCACTCCCACAGTCACCTCCTTTCTGCAAGGCTACAGACCCAGCTGCGGGCAGGGGACACTTCGGTGTCACAGAGCCTGCAAAGGGCACGTTGGAACTCCACCTGGGGGCCCCGGGCACTGCGCTCCCAGACCACTGTGCGGCTCAGCCCGGCAGATGCCCAGAGCTTCCCATGGAACGAGGGCCCAACTCAGGCCTGCCATCCCGAAGCCTGGCCATCCAAGCTATCCCTTTGGTGGCAGATATCCCCAGCTTTTTCTGGGTAACATGGATGAAGCTGCCCATCGCGGCAGAAACACATCTCTCACACAGTCTTGGTGTCCAGTGTCAGGGACCTCCGTGGACACCGTGAGGCCCATGCCAGGACCCCAGTTCGGGAGGCAAGCTGCACAATTCTCCTGCACCGACCGAGGACCATGGGTCGGGCTGAGCTGAAAGCTTTCACTGCACCTGCTGCCATCCTCCCATCCTGAGATTCTCCTCCTTTTATTGCCCCAGGAAACCCTGGCTCAGAGAGGGCATGGGCCTTGCCCAAGTTCACACAGCCAGGAAGCTGCAGGTCTGGACCAGGGAGCTTGGAGGGGGCCCAGTGGCCAGAGAGCCTCCTCGGAGCCATGCCCCTTCTGCCCCACGCTGCGACCAGCCTGCCCTCCTGTGGTCTTCACCCCGACGGGCACTTCCAGCAGCCCCTCACTTCTTTAAGCTCAGTGGTTCTCCTGGGAGGGGCCCTGCTGACCCTCAGCCGTTCCTTCCGCCCATCCCACGAGGCAAGGCCAGCCCACGCACCCATGTCGGCAGCCCGGGGCTGGGGTACGGGGCTCAGGCCGCAGGTTCGCTCAGCCTGCCTCTCCTGGGCCAGCGAGGGGCCGCTTTTCACAGGAGAACCGAGCTCATCACCATCATCCCAACAATGGCCCCCACCATCTGTGAAGCTTGGCCTATGTCTAGGGAGTGCTAGGAATGCTCCACCCACCATCCTGTGAGCCCTCCCAGAGCCCATGTGGCAGGGAGGGGATGCAGGCTACGCCAGGTGGAGTGACATGTTGTCCAGTGGTTCGAGGCCCTGCACCACGATCAGGTGCCCTTGCCCACCTCTCCCACCACCACTCTGCTCCAAGGGGCCTCTAGAACATGTCAGGATCTTTGCCACCCCAAGGCCTGCAGTGCTTTCTCTCCCTTAGCACAATGGCTCCTTCTTATCCTACATGTCCCAGCTCAAATGTCACTTCTCCAGGGAGCTTCCCGTGTTGCCCTAGCCAATCAGGAACCTGCTGACCTGGTTACTGATGACCTCATCCGGCTCCCAGCTCCACAAGGATGGGCATGGGCCTGCCCCTTCAGCCCAGTCTCCCTTCCTCCCTCTTCCAGGGACAATCTGGGTTGGTCACCTGTATCCTTGAATCCAAATGTCTGTTCCCCCATCCCTGTCATACTGTCTCCCAACCTCCTCCCCTCTCCATGGGGTCTGCCTACCCTACTCTCCCCTGTGGTTCCCTCTTCGCTCACCATCCTCCACCTTTGCAATCCCTGCCCCTTGGCCTGGCCTGGGAGCACTGCTCAGCCTTCGACCTGGGAGCCCCTGAAACGCCAGATTCTGGTGTAGCCCACGTCCATGCGCTGGGCACGCTCTCGGCTGCTGCCATCAGTCTATCAGATTCTCACTGGACTGGTTGGATGAGTTTAAACAAAGGACGCATTCTTAACTGCAGGGTCCTTCCTTTCCAGTCGCATTCTGACTTGGGTTCTTACTGCTGGGGCAAACTCAGGAGTGCATTCAGCCTCAAGGTCTGGAGGGGGCAGTCCAGAAGCCACAGACTCCCTTCCTGCAGACCTGAGCACTTGCAAACCCTGGAGAGGAGATGGCGAGTCTGGAGGGCCCTCCAGGGACTCCCTGGGCCAGCCCCCAGGCCTCTGGCTGGACGAGAAACCCCTTTTGTTCCTATTCTCTCATTGGCTTCCCGGGATAACTACCCTTTCTGTCCCAGCCTCGCCAGGCATGGTGCCCAGCTGTTTGGCCAAACACTAGTCTTGGTGCTGCTAGGAAGACATTCTGTAGATGTGGTTCATGTTAGTAAAGGTTAGCCTCAGTAACAGGGACGGGGCAGGGGGGCTCATCCCATCTGCTGGAGGCCTTAAGAGCAAAACCTGCCTGCTTCCTGGGAAAGAAATTCTGCTTCGAAGTGTCAGCTCGGGCCTGGGTCTCCAGCACGCCAGCCTGCCCTACAGATTTCAGACCTGCCTGACCCCATGACTACTCAAGCCAGTTTCCGAAAATAAACGGCCATGTCCGAGTCTGCGTGCTCCCCTCTTTATCTCCCACTGGCTCTGTCTCTCTGGAAGGCTTGGCTGATACAGCGTCCTACCTACGCAGCAGAATGTCTCTCAGTGTGGACTGAGGAGCGGGGCACACCCGCCAGGACATCCTGATGCTAAGTCTGCCCTCTCTTCCCCGGGATGCCACTCTCATGCAACAAGACACTGGTGTGTGAATGGAACAGTGATGTCTTCTGGCAAGTGCTGGGCAGAGATGTGCAGGGAGTGGCCCCAGGATATCTGATTCTGCCCAGGGACAGTCAAGGCTCCTTCCATTCCTGGAAGCTCCTGGAAGCAGACCCTCAGAGGGTAACCTCCAAATGCAGGAAGGATGTGAGAGCCTCCAGTGCATGAGGCCTTCAGGTCCTTGGGACAGGAGCCAGGGTCTAGACCCTCTAGGACAGAGAGCCCTGGATCTCAGGAATGGCACTCAGCCAGGCCCCCAATGGGTCTCCTGGGAAGTCTGCCTGCCCATCGGGGTTACATGGTTCCTCTGACCACACGTCCCTTGAACCACACTTCCTGAGCTGCGGAGGACTGCCATTCTTCCCCCAAATGGCACCAACATCACAGAATACCTACGGGCTCTGTGCTACGGGCTCCTATTAGGCCCCTTTCATTTTGCCAGGCTAAGCATCCTGAATTCCCCCAGCCAAGCCTCATCGTGTCTGTGATCGTTAGGGTCCCGGCACATCCCGCTCCATCCAGGGGCCACCAGCACAGCCACCACCCCATCCCAGCACCCTGGAGTGACTCTAAATGTGTCCCTGCCACACTGCACGACCCATGACCCAGTCCTGCCACCTTGATGTCCCAAATAGTGCCCAAACCCCAAATCCACCCACTGCGTGCCTCAGCACTGCCACCACACTGTCCAAGATGCCCACATCTCTTGCCTGGTTGACTCCATTGCTTCCCAGTCTCCCTGCACCCACAGGACCAGGCTGGGCTTCACGGTGCAGCCTCGCTGTTGTTTTGAATTACAAACTACAAATCTGATCAGGAAGCCCCTCAAATTAAAAGCCATTGTCCTTAATCCAAGGACAATTAATCCAAACTGCTTAACGTGGCCCGGGCCCCGGCAAGACCTGGCCCCATTCTTACCTTCACCCTGCTCAAGTACAGACACCTTAGCCTCCTAAAGTTCTTCCTCAAAGAGCTCCTGTGGCTTCCTGCCCGAGGGTCTTTGCACATACTGGCTGCTCTTCCTGGAATTTTCTTCCTGTGGGCCTACCTCACCTTAAACACATGCATATATGGACACACACACACACACACCAACACAACACTTCCTTTTACCCAGTTACTTCCTTTTTCCCAGTTAACTTTTACCCACTGTTGATGGCCCCTGTTCCTCCCCTTTAGAACCCTTATCACAGACTCATTTGGGTTATCAGTTGGTTGATTCTGCCTCCTGCATCAGACTGAGTCTGGGAGGGCAGAGCTCAGGCCCCTGTCTGCTCATCACACATCCCAGGACCCAGCTCAGGGCCTGAAACATAGTCAGCAAATGAACGAGAGAGTCAGCTAAGCATTCTGGGAGCAACAGTCAAGAAAGTGACCGAGCCTGCTTCTCCCTGTCCCTCTGCTGCTTCCCTTGCTTGTGCTCGTCCCCCCCCCCACTCTAATAAATTAATAAATAAAATCTTTTTTGAAAAGCTGATATCAAATTCCATAAACAGTACGAAGCTACTCATCAAAAATGGAATTCAGCAATTTTGGGTATTTGTGCCAAAAGAGATCTCCGGAATCATATCTACCAGCGTGGGGCCCACAGGAGTTATAACTTGGTGGGGTAATTCCGTGTGATGTTTGCTGCCTTCTTTGCATTTTTCCGGAGTTCTACAAGAGTTATAAAATGTTTTTATATTAAAAATAAAGCTCTCTCCCCTGAAATAAAAACATCAGGGGCCCTCCTGTCCTGCTGGGATACGGCCCCTCCTAGACCATTCCTGGCTCACCTCCCAGCTCCAGCCCAGAAGAATGTGGGACGTGCCCCACTGCTGGAAACATTTCCAGCTTGCCTTCCGGCTCGCTGGGGATGACAGGAGAGTGAATACAGAGACGCACCCTTGGGTGTGTTCTTGGATGATTAAACGCATGACCCCGTCCTCCGAGTTTGCTCAAAGGAAGTATTTAGAGGCACTAACCGCTATTTTGCACCTTTTATCTGATATTTAGCAAAAAGAAAAGGGGGTGTCATTTAAAGGACACCCTAGTCCCTAGAGGGAAACAGCTAGTCCTAAGGAGCTCTTGGCCCCAGGCCCCAGGAACCTCGGGCATCTTGTTCTGGGCTCAGCTCTCTCCATGAGGCAACCAGCCCACAGGGCTTGGCCCTTTAAGGAACAAAAACACACAGCAAACAGGCACCCTCCAGGCTGGGGACATGACCACACGACTAACAAGGACTCCACTGAGCAGGAGGCAAAGAGCATGTCCGCTGCGGAGCAAGTGGGGACTGTCATATCTGAACCCCATGCCGAGGCCACCCAGAACCCCATCTCCCCCATAGCAGACACCCCGAAGATTCCCCTAAGGAATCTGATCCCGAGGCAGGACCGATCCAATCCTGGGGGGACCGCTCAACCCTATGAGCTGGTGAGGCCCTTTTTGCTTGAGTCACTTGCAACAGGAAAGGTCCACATGGATGTGTCTCTGCACAAGGCTGCAGCCACACCAGCATCCCCAGACCCTCTCCCACCACCGTTACTCCCACTGAGGGCTGCTGTTCCTGGCTGTGGGCAAGGACCCCAGAGACCCCCTCAGTAGAAGCTGTATGTTCATCTGGAGGCACACACATCAAGGTCAGATAGTGTGGGGGAAATCGGTGGCTGACCAGCATCACTGTGAGGCTTCCTTTTTGCCTGGGGACAACTTGCAGATGCTCCCCCACCCACACTCCTTGAAGCCTTTACTTGTGGGTCCCTTGGCCTGGAAAGCCCCTTCCCTGCTCTCCCTTCTTTGCTGGTGAGAGTCCCATCCCTCCTTCAAAAGCCAGCCCCATGTTTCTTCCTGAGCAGCGGATGTGCCCCCCTACCTCTCCCCCAGTGCTCCCTGCCTGGGCTGCCAGCCATCCCCTCTTAGGTGGCAGTCCCATACAGATGCGCCTGGCCTCCCGACTTTTCCTGGAAGCCCTCCCGCTCTGGCTGGGCACCCCTCCTATGACTCCCTCCCAGAAGGGTAGTCTGGTGACTCCTGCCCTGGATGGACACACACTTGGCCTTAGATGTTCCCTGCGCCTCCCGGGGGCCCAGCCCTGGGGCATGGATGGGGGCAGGGGCAGCCCTGGGTCCCCAGGAGACTCCAGACCCCGCACTGCCCAGCACAATGGTGGCTGACTGGGCTCGGGAGGGGAGATCCAGTGCATGGACAGTGATTATCCGGTAGGACAACAATAGGGGGACTAAGTCCTGCACGCCGGCCCGCGGGACCGTGGCTCATTGCACATGCTCAGCGAAGTCCTTTCAGTCAACAAATATCATCCCAATATCTCCTCTGAGCTGACACCCTCTGGGCCTTCTAAGCCTCTACTTAAAGATGAGCTTATTATTCTCGCTTGGTGTGAACGTGGCCAAACGAGAGGCCACAGATCGTGACCATCTTCTCAGTGTCAGTTCCCAGGGGAAAAACCAGCACCACCGACTCGGCATTGTCATGAAGGCTTTCTTGGCCAGAAGCACGCAGTTAGAGCCCTCGGCAAAGCCGTCTGTGTTGGGGCATACTCCCTAGTTCTCAGGCGTTGGAGCACTGGGGGTGCTCAGCACTGATGCTGGGGACAGATGCGTGCAGAGGACCCCCCCCCCCCGCAGGCCTGAATGTGTGCCCCCACCCCTGGAGATGCCCTCCTACCTCCAGCCGGGTCCGGTCCACGTCCTTGGGCAGTTTGACACGAATTCGGTTGGTGACAATGAGGGCATCATAAGGATAGATCTGTGGGGAGAGGAAGCTGCAGGTTCACCCCAGGAAGCAGGCGTGGGCCGGGACCAAAGGGCAGAGCCGAAGGCCAATGGAGAGTACATACTTGCGCCGGCATCGGACACACACATTTCATAGGAAACCACAACAAAAGGAACTTTTAACCTGGGCAGCTGTGTGGTGGCGGGAAGAGGTCGGCGTGGCAGCGGGTGGCCCCTCTTACCTTGTATTCTGTAAGAGACAGAGCAGAAGCCACGTGTGGCGGTTTAGAAAGCACAGGAACGTGGTCCAGCGGCAGAAGCAGTCCCGTCCTGGGGACACCACCCCCCCACCCCCTGCACTGGGTCGCTAGTCCTCGGGGGGCAGATTCTGTGGAAGGAACCGGGGAGCAGGAGGCATGGTCAGGAGGCTGGAGGCCAGACTGGGAGCCGGATGCAGCACCATGTTCCTCAGGCACGATACTGTCTTCCTGGATTCCGGGCCGCCCTGAGAACGCGGCCTGCCTCGGTTTACCCACCTGAGGAGCCGACCTTCCAGGGTGGTTTGGGGGGCATTGCAGAGATGGACAGTCGCGCAGGGTCTGACCCCTTGGCCTCTTACTCTCTTACCTTCTTGACCCTGTAGCTCCTCCTTTATATTCCTGAGTTCCCCACGCTCGCTTTTTAAAAGGTTTTTCTGCCAGACTAAAATTGCCGTGTCAGAAAATAGACTTGTATGGATCAGAGGGCCTCTGTGAGTGCGTAGAACCCACAGAAAGCAGACCCCTAGGACATGGGCCGCAAGCTGATCTTGGGAGGGGGACCCTGACAAGGGGCCTGGGCGACATGGGCCGGTCCCCAAATTTCCCAGTGGGCCCCAAACAACACCCAGACGTGCCAGCTCTGAGCCACATGCAGGGGGCTGGCTGCGAGCCCCCAGAGTGAGCCCCCAGCGTGAGCCAGCAGCCCATGAGTGCACACTCCTGCCATGCGGGGTGACAGGGGCGAGTGAGCACCCCACCCAGGAGGGGCTCAGAACCAGCAAAGCCCAGTCAGGCTCCTGCCAGGCAGCCGGGGTCACACCAGGAGCATCAGCTTCTGGCAAGCAAACTTCCTGGTTCGAAGCCCAGGAGCCCCACACAGCCGGGAGGAGTGGGAGGCAGTCTGGGACCTGAATTCGTTTGACTCAGACCCCAGAGGCATTGTTGTGATGCTTCCCCCCTTATTGCCACAGAATGTAATGGTGGGTGATGGGGTTGGCCTCAGTCCTGGTACAGGACGGCGATTCTGACACACAGCTCTCTCCCCGGGTGACCGGAGTGACCAATGGATTGGGACAGGGTCAGCTGTCCTCAAGGATGAGGAGGAGGGAAGGGAGCACGTCCTGTAACATAAAAATGGAAGTAACCAGCTCCCCAAGGGGTAACGAGTGCCCCCATTTCCCCCCACTGCACGACACTCGGAGCCTTTTCCAGGTGGTCCCAGAGGGGCCCATCTCAGAACGAGATTGTGGGAATGTGTAAGAGACCCCTGCCCAGCCAGAGACCCATGGGGGTCCCCGCATCTTGTACCTCGCGTGCCCCAGCTGGCATCCAGGTCTGCTCCACCAGGGGCCAGATTGGCATTCTGGAAGAGAAAGAGAGAAGGCGGCAGGAGGCAGGTTGCTGGGGCGGGTGGTCGTGCCTTGGTGCTGCCCGGCCTGGGTGGGAGGACGATGGGCTCCCCAGAGTCCCTGGTGCCTCGGCTCTGGAAGGGCCAAGCTGAGACACCCTTGGCGGGTTTGCTCGCACGCCTCCCCCTTGCCTTCCAGGCCAGCACAGACCCTGCCTGGCCCAGCTCTTCTGCCCGCCTTCCGAGCCTCCTCCCTGCACCCCACGGCCCCCTAACTGTGCAGCCTAGCCTGCTGTGGAGGCCAGCCCGCGGGGGCCTCTGCTCCCTCCAGACCCTGTGGTCCCCAGGCACCCAGGAGGGCCGGTCCGTACAGCCCCTAGACAGAGCTCTGTGTGCCCGAGCGGCCGTGACAGAGGATGGCTCTCAGGTCGGGACATGCTGAAGAACACAGGCCACCGTCTTAGGTGTCTGTCTCCCTCGTTCACGGCAGTTGTCAGCGGACTGCCATTTCCATGCAACTCTACCACCCAGGTCGGGAAGTCTCTTAACTTCCGCTAGCCTGAAAAAAACCACCCCACACACCACTAAGGGCCCCCAAAGCAGGTGCCAAGGCCCTGTATCTCTACCCCCAACTCCTGTGTCTGGCACGATACCACGAGTCCAGCTCTGCTACGGCCCCTAGTCCACAGAGCCGCTGGAAGAACATGGCTCCTACAGGCCCAGCACCTGCTCTGGGGTCTGACATGGGCCCTGGGATCCTGCAGTCCCAGGGCTGGGTCACGCCTCGCTCTGGACAGGGAGACTGGTAAAACACGGTCAGCACTAGGTCCGGAAGCACAGGAGTGACCTGCAAGGAGCAGGTGTCGTCCCAGAGAATGTGCGGGCAGCAGACAAGCCCCAAGTCCTTCATCCCAAACAGGGGAGACAAGGAGGGTGAGTCGGGCAAGCACGTAAGTGGAGGGTTGGAGCCGATCTCTATGTAAATATTTGGTGTTTTGTTCATCATGAATTTTCTTGCATTGACTTGGATTTTTAAAAATACTGCCTTAGAACAAGATTTACATTGATTATGGAGCCTTTTGGCAAGTGCCCCACTTGCCTCACCTAGTGTCAGCCCTGGGCCAGGCGCCCTCACCCCCATCCACTCTCCTGACCATCACAGAATCACTCTCCTTAGCAGTTTGCAAGGACAGATTTTGAGACATTTTCTCATGACATTGAGAAGCACCTCTATACGCACCTGTTTGGTCCGGAAACCGGTTCCCACCTAAGGCAAGGCGAACCTGCTCTCCAGGCGCCTTCTCAACCCCTTGGCCCGTCAGTGATGTGGAAGAGAGAGGCCTCCCCCTAGTGCCCACTGCCCTAAATCACAGGCCACTGACTCTCAGGTCACCACCACCACCTCAGGCAGTTAGAGCGTCCACTGGTCTGCCAGGCTCTGAGGCCGGACAGAGACTCCCAGGAGAGAGGGAAGGGCATCTTCTGGGTGGACGGGAGGGGGACCGAATCAGTCCAAAGGGGAAAAGCAGTCTACCTTTGGTCCTCTAAGTGCCCAGGATCTCCAAGACCTCTCTGGTGCAAGGAAGCCTTGTGGTCATTCCTTAACAGATGGGGTACCCAGGGGAGCCCCACAAGGGCAGTGCCACTGGGCCCACCACTGGCTAATTCCCTTGTGGTTCTCAACAGAGGCACCAGAGAATTGAAAAGCAACAGATTATTTGCCTCTCCCATTGGTTTGGAGTTTACTAGTCGCCCACTACCCCTACAGATATGGTCTACAAGTCTTGCTGTGAACCTAGGAGGTGGGCATCATCCTTGTGGTTTTATGGATGAGGCTCAGAGAGGTCAAGGAATGAGCCCAAGATCACACAGCAATACACAAAACTGTAAACGTTTTAACCCATGTCTTTTGCTTCTCAAAGATGATACTGGAATTGTTAGTAGTAGGAATGAAATGAGCCCATTCAGGGCTCATTGTTACTGTCCTGCCAAGCTGGAATATGCCACTTAGTAGCCACCAGCGTGGAAGGAAGGAGGGGTTGGAACTTGCTTTTGTAACAATTACTCTTGTAGTAACCAAGCTACAGAGCTTAGGATATTTCACGTGTTTTAACCGTTACTTGTCCTCACACTGATCTTAAGAGGTCAGGGTAACTTCTTTTAAAGCCAGGAAGTAGAGACTCAGGAAATACAAGGGACTTTCCCTAAGACATACACCGGCTGGGATTTGAACTCGGGGCTCAGCGTGGCAAGTGTCCTTTCCAGTGTCACCATGGGAAAATACCAGACTTAATTTATTCAGGTTTCCTTGTACACAGGCATTTTTGCAAATGCTTTACAGGCATACGAAAATCTGATTCAAAAGACAGAGATTTTTCCCATCTACCTAGTAGATGGCTTGCTGTTTGCACTATTCAATTGCTCCAAATGACTTTTACTATTTTTTTTTGTTGTTGTTGTTCATTAGATCCACACGTCTGATTCCAAATGCCACATTGAAAGTGCCTCCCGTCTTGAATTTAATGAGGGTGCCAGCACTGGCATGCTGCTGGGTGTGCTTAAATGTACGAAGGCTACGCCTGCTGAATGAAGTGTCATCATGAAGTAGAGTCCCCTCTATTGCTATTAGAATCTGTCAACCAGCAGGAGAATTCAGTCTCTACGTATTTGCCATCAGGGTTTTTCTGTCAGTGGCCAGCGGTCGTTCTGTTAATAACAGACCAGGGGACACATGCTGAGGGCCATGATGCCTTACCCATGGGAGTGCCTGTGACAGGTGACTACTGTACAATTTATTCCACAGAGAGGAGAGCTTCCGCTGTGAGTGGGCTCCGTGGCAGACTGGTTAGCGGGACAATTAAATGAGTTCTAGGACTCAGGGTGCTGGTCCCTTAGGACAAATCTCTCTCAAAGCAACAACTTGAAACCTCTCCCCCCACCCTGCCCCCGCCATGAATGGATCTCCTTCCATTGGACAAGAACTACACACCAGTCATGTTTGCCTCTTTGCCCTGGTTACTAGGAAGCTCAGAGCTAAGCTCCAGCGGTTTGGCTCATACAATATTCTTCTGTTTCTGATAGGATTCTGATACATAATTTCTTTCAGAGTTTCCTTCTCTGCCCCTTTGTGATTTGGGGTTGGTGGGTTTCTGGTCTCAGTGTGCCTGTGTTTTTCCTTCAGGCCACCTAGAATCCTTTCTGGAAGTAGAGACGCACACAAAATAAAAAAACCTAACAAGTAGCTTGTGAGGACTGTGGGCAATAGACAGTGGCAGGTGACCACATCCAGGTGCTGAGAATGGCCGCACTGTGAAAGGCTAGTCATTCAAAAGCTCAAGTATCTGGCCTTCCTACTGAGAAATAGGCATAAAATTACATAAAAGTCTTAGAATGTCTGAAAAAAAAAAAAAAACAGGAAAAGAAGCTTTGCAGGGAAAAAGAACCCTAAAGCGAAGTCACCAGTGCTTGTCCCCAATTTCCCATATCAGCAACATGAAGAGCTAACGATCTTCCCAAGAAGACACACCCGCTTTTATCAACCGCCCCCTAGCATCTGCAGGACACACGGGCTTCCCACCCTTGAGAGCACAGGAGGAACGTTCTCAGAGGCTCAGCTCTAGACTCTGTAAAGCTCTGTCTAGCCCCTGCTCTCCCTAGTTCTGAGAGAGGGAGTGAAGCCTACGTCCATGCTGGAATGTCTCATCGGCTGTTCCCAGCTTGTTTGGGGCTGGGTGCGTGTGGCGGCTGTGGCCTTTTCTGCAAGTGCTGGGAGCATCGATCCAAGCCATTCCAGCATGAACCAAGGAGGACATCTCCCCAGATGATGTGTGGCCCAGGCCCCAAGGCTAGAAATATGGAGCGTTTCTCCCTTAATTGTCTTCCACATATTGAGGGACAGTCCCCGGACTTGGCTTGAGGGCTAGAACGCCGCTACCCTCCTGGGCCCCCGAGTCAAAGGAAAGCTGTTCCATGTGCAGAGGACATTCTGGAAGGCTTCCCCACCACCCTCAGGTCCCCAACCCTAAAGCCCAAGGGTTGACATTTCCTGGTGCTGTGGGGGTCCTGTGGACGTCCTCCTGCCCCCTGCCCTTGCCGTGCCCTCCCTGCTGTCCACTGAAGAGGAAGCGTGGAGGAATCCTTAGAAGAAAATTGAGAGAAGCATGCGGCCCGCGAGCCCTGAGCCAGCCTGTTCCAGAATGGGAAGTGCAGTGAGTGGGAAGGGGGCTTCACTGGAGTCAAGCCATGCAGAGGTGGCCGGGCCCCAGCTGCGAGGTATGCCCTGGTGACCGGAGGCGGGGGTCCAGGCATTACACACTATTGGTGAGACCTCTGCTGTGCAACACACGGGGGCTTCGAATTCTGAGCACCTTCTTTGGGGGAATGACTTGCCCCAGTTTTGAACAAACATCCTTAGACAGGGGAGAGGCAGCCTGAGAGGGGGTGTCCTGGGGTTTTATAGGGGGGCCTCTGGTACCATCATGCCCATCCCACCCCAGGGGTCCTCACTGGGGACTAGTGAAGCTATGGGAACAGCAACAAAAAGTCGCCCAGCCCCTCCGTAGGGACAAGTCAGGCGCCAAACTCTCTGGGCTCACATTCCAAGATCCCCGATTGGGAAGACGGGATGGGGAAGTCCAACCAGCCTTTAGCTGGGAGCAGCCAGAGCCAGCCAGCTACGGAGTATGGGATCCAGGAAAATTATGGGCACGAGTGGCAGCATTAGCAGTGACGGTAATGGTCCCAGATGCAAATGGCACTGTTTATGGTGACAGCTGGAGGCAGTGGCAGTGAGGCGACGATACACTCCAGGAAAGAAGTGGATCCGTGGCTCATGTTGCTCACCAACTAGCTGATCCTGGAAGCCCCTCACTAGGCTCTGGGTCACAGAAGAAGGATGTGGCTCGGAAGGGACCTTGGGGTCGGAATGCTCTGCGTGCTGCTGTCTCCCCCTCCCCCACACAGAGGTGTCCTGGGCCGGGGGCGGGGTTAGACAGGAGGAAGGGAGGGGGTTCCAGTTCTGCTCTGATGGTGGTCTGCAGAGGGGCCAGCACAGCCCCCAGGCAGGGCAGCAGGTGGAGGCGGTGGGCAAGCAGGGTCCCCAGGCCCCTCCTTCCTGCCGCGGGATCAAGAAGCTATGGGCTCCATGCTCAGGCTCCTGGCGTGGCATGGTTAATATACCGCGAGCCAAGGAGGCGTTGAGTACCTACCCGATGGTCCAAGCCATTCTTTCCGTGTCCTGGGGGAGGGTCAGATTTGGAATAGGGGAGTCCTGAAACAGACACAGCATAGCCCTGTCATGCACGCACGGAGGCCCCGCCCCTGCTGGAGGGGCCACGCCCTGCCTCCATCATGACCTCCGTCCCCAGGAAGTCCGCCAGCAGGGGTGTGAAGCCCCTGAGCCCGCCTAGGACACCAGGAACCCCGTGGCACTCTCTTGGGCACCTGTGTTTTCTGGCAGCCTCAGGCCCGGGCATCACCTGTCACCCAGGCTGAGCTCCTCATCCGGCAGACCCGGAGAGCTGGGGACAGGAGCAGGAAGGGCTCCCCATGGGGGGGCGTGGTAAGGGCTGTGCCATCCTGTGCCAGGGCAGCAAATGGAGGCCCGTCATCAACCAAAGGTTGTGAACTGTTTTATTTTTTTAAATGATCGTGAGCTATTTGCCATTGGGGGAATTTCACATTAAAATCCTAGTTCGGCTTCTCTTGAAACAAAAAAGGGCAGGTCTGATACCACGGGAATCCCACAGTTGAACCGGCTGTACCACTCGTATTCCTGGCTGCCCTGCATGGGCCCCGGGCTCTGACTCTCCCAGTTAACCTCTGCAATGTGTCTGGAGAGAGTGGTGCGGGGATTCTCTGCTATGGCCTTCTGGCTGGGGGAAGGATATGTGGCAGCACGGCAGAGCCGAGCCCCCTGCAGGGGCAGGACCTCCCTCTCCTGGGGGAAGCTCCTGGGGTCCTTGCTCCTAGCACTGGGCTGACCCTGAGCAGCTCCGGCAATAACAAACAGGACCAAATGCCAGTGCCCACTGCGGGAGCTGCGTGGCCTCTAGTCTGGGCCCAGTGGGTGGCAGATTCTGTCTCCTGGTGTCCACAAGGCCATGTGCATCCATGGGACCAAGAACTGAGCCTTGGCCAGAGCTGAGGTGGGTACCATGCACAGAACTGCCTGCCCACCCAATCCAGGACCCAAGAAGGCTCATCCAGAGGCCTTTCCTCTCAGGGAGTCCTCACAAACTCTGGGGGCTGAGATGACACTCTGCACGGGTCACGTGTGGACCCAAGAAAGACTGGCGGTGATGCCTCAGCTGGGGAACCTATCCTGGGTACTTGTTTGCACCTACATGGCCTGTCCGAAGGTCCTGGATGTGGGTCCGAAAGGGCCTTTTGCTACATCAAGGTCAGGGTTCTCAAACTTCTTTCAGCAAAGAGATTTTATATGAAATCCAGCATCGAAAAGAGAGGGGCAGGGGAGCTGGACACAGAAGAGGGACAAGGGGCTAGACCTGCCGTGCCACCCCTGTTCCTCCTAGCCTCTCTGAAGACTCCCATTCGACAGAGGGGGAATCGAGGCCCAGATCAGGGGGCCGGCCATGGTCACACAGCCCTGGGATGCCAGACAAGGCCCCCAACTCACAGTCCTGGGCTCCCTCCTAATTTACACATAGAGCCAGGCATGCTCGGGGATGTGAAGCCATAGGATTGAGGATCTGAGGGACCCTCCACTGAGACACAGGAACCCCTGATTCACAAAGATGCTGGAGCAGTGGTTCTCAAAGTGGGATCCCTGACCGGCGGCATCAGGGTCCCTTGGAATTGGGTAAAGAGGCAAATTCTCAGCGCCTGCCCCTGACCTCCTGCTTTGGAATCCCAGGGCTGGGGTCCCATGAGCTGTGGTTTACAACCCCTCCAGGGCATTCTGATGGACACAATGGTTGGGGAACTTGAGAAGAGCCATGCCCTCACCTCTGTCCTGTGCCTGGAGGTGCCGCTGTCACCCAGACTGCTGTCACAGGGTCCCGTGCTCAGGCTGCCTCCTGTGGTCTCTGTGTCTGACCGCTTTGTATAAAGCCCAGAGACCCTACTTCAGTAGGTCACTCTGTTCTCCTGACTTTGTGATGACAACTGTCCTGGGTGTCTCTTCTACCTACCTGGAGCCCCCATCGCATAAGGTCACAAATTCTGCTTCAACCATCAGGCAGGATTTCAGAACTTCGTGGAAAGGAGAAGCGTAGATGATATTTGCCCCATTTTTACCTCTTCAGATGTCCTCTCCATTCCGAGGCCCAGAGTCTTCTCTTACCATGTCTCTCTGCTGGGACACCTGCCGCCTGCGATTCTTTAAACATCTGCTTGTGAGAAATGCTTAGTGTTCCTTTGAGAATTTCTTAGTTTCCCCATTCATTCCCGCAAGATAGGCTCCCTTAGTGCAGAATTTGCGTTGACAGCAACCGTCCTTTGACACACAGAAATAGGCCCTTTCCTTCTGGCCCTGTGGCTTCTGCTGAGAAACCCCCTGTCTCCAGGCGGCCTTGTCCTCTGGGGAGTCTGTCTGTCTTCTGCTGCAGCAGCTCTCAAGACATGCCACCCTCTTTCAGATTTCAACCGTTTTCGTGGTAACTGGGTTGGGCGTGAACTGCCTTGGATTCATCCTACTCGGGATTCTTCAAGTTTCTTGAACCTGTAGGTTTAGGTCTCTGGCCACTGTTGGCAGGTGTTCAGCCATATCTTTGTTTTTTTGTTTTGTTTTGTTTTTTAAAGATTTTATTTATTTACTTGTCAGAGAGAGAGAGAAAGAGTGAGCACAGGCAGACAGAGTGGCAGGCAGAGGCAGAGGGAGAAGCAGGCTCTCTGTGGAGCAAGGAGCCTGATGTGGGACTCGATCCCAGGACGCTGGGATCATGACCTGAGCAGAAGGCAGCCGCTTAACCCACTGAGCCACCCAGGCGTCCCTCAGCCGTATCTTTGAATGCTTTTTCCAGCCTGCTGTCTTCACTCCTCTCAGGATTCTACTGTGAGATGCTGCCTCCCAGATCTCTGAGGCTCTGTTCAGTTTCTCCCTGCTGTTTTCTCTCTGTTGCTCAGACAGAGTCATTTCTGCTGCTCCATCTATGAGATTGCTGACCGCTCTGCCGTATTCTGTTATGCTGTTTCTGAATCCATCCAGTGAATTTTAAATTTTGGTTATTTTCTCTTTCAGTTTCATAGTTTCCACTTGATTCTCTTTTTTTGGGGGGGGTAGTAATGTCTATTTCTTTGGCGAGGTTACCTTTCTTTATTTCAGGTGTTTCCAAAGAATTTGTACTTGTTTGCTGAAGCATTTTCTGAGTGGCTGCCCTAAACATCCTTGTCCAGGAACCCCAACACCCGATTCTTGTCAACATCGTATCTGCCACTTGTCTTTGCAGGTTCAAATCGGCAAGTGGCTCTTGGTGTAGGGTGTGGTCCTCTATCGTCTCCCAGACATGACATCAGAAGACACTGGATCCTGGAAGAGCCTTCTATTGGAGCAGCTGCTACCTGTCTCGGCCTGGTGCATTACAGCCTGTGGTTCTGAGTACAAGGTGGTTTTCAGAATGCTTGTCAATGTGCTCTTCTGGCCTGCCTAGTCCAGCTGGGGTTCCTGGGATGGTCCGTGTGTGGGGGGGATGTGCTTCCCCATTTGCTCTATGCCCCAAGGTGGAGATGGGAGACACAGGCTGCCATGGGAAGAGTCTCCTGGGCCCATCCTCCTGGCTGCCCCAGGCCTTTTGCTTCATACCTACCCATGCAGCCTGGGGTGGAAGATGTCACCTGGCCGCCCTGAGCTGCTGCATGAGAGGTGGGAGACACGGGCCCTGTGTTTTACTTCAAGTCCTGAGGTCCCTAGCCAGCCCACCTTCCTCTTTCCACCCTCAACATTTCTGCAATTTGTCTGCTGTATTGCTTTTTTGGGGGGGGGTGTTGGGGTTATACTTAGTATGGATGAGCAGGGAGAGAGGATACTCCCCTATCTTCCCCTCCCCACCAGCTGCCATGTTGACCCATCAAACTTGGCCTCTCTGGGGCTAGGAGGAGCTATCAGCAGATTTTAAAGCAGATTTTAAAGGTCCCAGTGACCTTTAAGGGTCCCAGTGCAGTCAGGGCTGAGAGCCGCTGGCTTAAAAAGTCCCTTTGCACATTCAGAGACTTTCCCTGGCCCTCTTAGGCCTGTGCATTCCATGGGACCTCCTCTTATAGGTAAGGAAGCTGAGGCCCCGTGAGAATAACGACCCCTACAAGGTCAATGTGTGCAGAGGATAAAATGAGAGCCTTGGACTTCTGGCTTCATGAACCAGTGATCCTGGCTGCACCAGTGGCTCTGTGCCTGTGTGGGTCTGCAGGTGTGGGTGTCTTCCGGGCACCTGCGGGTCAGATGGCAGCAGGTAGCTGTGGGAGTGTGTGCTGTGTGGGTGCACAAGAGAGAAGGTAGGTCTGTCGGACCTGGGACGGGGCAGCAGCTGGGAATTTTGAGTCTCATTGGTCCTGTAAGCACTGAACACCAGCCATCCCCATGTCTGTACTCAGTACAAACAGACTCCCTTGCCACCTCCTCTCAGAAGCCCACCTGTGGCAGCCTTGCACTCAGCATTCTGCGCAGAGTCTCCTTGGGTCTGTAGTTCTTCTGCACTGGCTGGCCAGAGGTCAGTGGATCTGGTGGACATGTGAGGAGGGGCCCAGATACAGCTGGAAACAAGCAGCTCATCACCATCTCGGGGGAGGCCCTGTGCACAACTGAGCAGGACGGCCCTTCCCTGGGCACATCTTCCACCAACGCCCGGATGTGGAACTTAGCAGCCGCATGGCCCTGCAGGGGTTTGGGTCCAGGAGGGGCTGGAATGGCCTTCAGTTCTGAGTGACTATAAGCAGGAGACCTGAGGATTACCCAAGCTCCAGGCTTCCAGAAGCAAGCAAGACGGGCACACGGCAGCTAGGCTTGTGGTCTTGACCATGCATTGCCATGAAATCCCCAAAGCTCTGGTGACAGGATGCCTGAGGGCTCACAGGTGAGCCCCCACACCCTGATGCTTCCTGCCAGCATGATGGGATCATCCCCGTTTTTACAGATAAGGCCATTTTAAACACAGACGAGTTTGCTCTAATGCCCAAAGTCACACAGCAAGTGACAAGCTGGGATTCAAGTGTCCGTGGACCAGCACCCAGATCTAGCACTCTCTGCTGGCCCATCCTGTGATCTCGAGGACACTGTCACTGTCTGCGTCAACAGTGGCCACTGTCATCCCCTCCATC